CCAGGCACCTTACATTATCTTCCTCACTCCCAAGCTCCAAGGGCCCTTCCTTTGCTCTATAACTTGTTTCCTAAGCCCATTTCTGCTAGAAATTACTTCTTCTACCTCTGCGATTTACCAAATAAATATTCTTATTAAAAAATAAAAAATTAATTACAATTAAGTTTTATTTTAAAAGGTAAAACTTTATACATACCTATAAAACATTGTTATTAAGCAAATCAATCATACAAGCTGTTTACAGCAGTAATTAAAGAAGTGGTAACGCTTTACCAGTGTAAAACATCACAGAAGTCAAATCACAACTTGGATCTTCAAGGTTCAAGTATTTTATCCCATTATGTAAAACGTGGTCAGTTTTAAGATAAAATTCCTCTTCTGGATATCCTGCTCTCAATCAAGTCTGTCTTTCTCACCGTCACCTCACACAGTAGGATAGCTGGCCGCCGTAGCGATTCCACAGTGGTTGTCCCGGTCTTTGGCCATCTTTATGTAGCCATTCCTGCCCCAAGCTCTACCCCAACTGAAAGAAGAGAGAGTTTTCCATTTTATACAAACATATTTATCTTTATGAACCTGGTACTTAAACAGTGCACCAGAAGCCCAGACAGATTCAGAAAGAATCAGGAGAGGCAGTTACTGTTCTTGGCTGAGTTCTAAGCCTGCACATAACTTCTATCCCCAGACCTTTCACAGAACCACAAAATTAGAGAGAAAGGAAACTCTTGAGGCCAGATGTGTTTCAGAATTAAGAAAACCTTCAAATCTAGAAATGTAATGGTACGAAAACTTTATCAATGCTCCAGCAAGCCAAGACAGTCTTAATGTTCTAATCACATTTGCATGTCTGTGTTCCGTAAGCGGCATGAAGACTTCTGAGATTTCAGAAGCGTGCTCAGGGGTTTGAGGGCTTGTATCCAAATACTGATTCCAAAAATGATTCCCTTTTCAATTTCAAAGATGAGTATTTTTAGCAGTTTATACCTGTTCTTGACAATCCAATATTTATTATTCAATTCTCCTTCAAAGCCATAGCCAACCACCAGGACACCATGATCTAGGTTTTCGCTGCTGCAGTGTGGATCATAATAAATGCCTGGGAAAGTAAAAGTCATTGTTGGGGTGAGGACCTCCAGTAACATGTGACAGTAACCAAGTACATCAACCACAGCAAGGGAGGCATCTCAGAATTTAGCTAAATGACATAAAATCAAGTAAGATTTGAAAACAGGGTGTCTTTTTTAATCTAGGTTTGGGAGTTAGGCCCTCATCTAATACTAGCAGAAATACAAATTGGCACAATCTTTTTCTTTTCTTTTCTTTTTGTTATTCCCCACCTGAGGATACCTTTCCCATTGACTTTTAGAGTGGAAGGGAGGGGGAGATGGAGAGAGAATATTGATGCGAGAGACACATCAATTGTTGCCTCCCAAATGTGCCCTGACCAAGGCCAGGGATTGAACCTGCAACCCAGGTAAGTGCCCTTGACCAGAATTGAAGCCGAGACCCTTTGGTCCGCAGGCCGGGCTCTAACCACTGAGCCAAACCAGCCAGGGCCACAATCTCTTTTATAAACAATGTGTCAAGAGGCATAAAGACTTCTGGAAGCCTTGTCATTCTACTTTTAGGATATCGGTCTACGGAAATAACCCAGAGCACAAAATTACTTGAGCCAAAGGGTCTTTACAGTTTTAATTACAATAGTAAAATTCTTTGGAAAAATGTGAAGGTCTAATAATTGGAAAAATGTAAAGTATATTAAGCTACACCAATCAAATTATGTAGCCATTTAAATATCTTTATGAAGTGCTTAAAATCATGGGGATGTCAAATGGAAACATCAGGGAAAGATATTATGTGTGCACAATGAACAACAATGCTACATTGACACACTCAGAAATTAAAAAACCAAAGAGTGAATCTTGCTGTATGTCACGGTGGTTTTCCAGTTTTTCTGCCTAAATTTCTACATAGACAATGCTTACCATCTTCATAGAACTGGAAGCTAATGTGGCTTGCATCTACAGCAACAGAGATGGGCCCGACAGTTGCCACTGCCTTCATGAGGGACATCTCTTGCTGAGGGATGTCCACGAAGCCAGTGTCATTGGCAACAGAATCCTCAGGCCTGTATTTACAGGATCCAACCTTTTAAAGGTAAAGGGAAGAGATTTGATGACTACCATCCACCACCTGGAGGAACAGTTTAAGACAGTTTGCAGCTTAATGATTTCCAAGTTTGTGAAATGCTATTGGCTGTTTTGAAAATGAAAAACTAGCCGGTGTCTAATCAATGAGATGCTCTCGGTCTACCTGTCCATAAGGAATTTTCCACTCTAGAGAATAGTGTACTATTTATAAAATGGTATATATATCTCCATATAACACGAAAATAGAGCTGCTATACAGTAACCATCCAAACAGAGAACTGTTCAAGGCTAATATATTTAATGAAAGTTCTGACAGTTTACATATACAGATTCTATAATCTAAAATGTGAATTCTAAACATGGCATCTGTTTTCTCTAAGGTGTTCAACTTTCTAAAGGAATGATATAAAGATAAGGAACTTTACCATTGCCTGATATGGGTAGGATTCCTCTGAGTCCAGGCCTCCGTTGGACTGAACGTACCGGAAGGCATTATCCATTAGGCCACCACGGCAGCCCATATTGCCTTGAGCCTGAGAGCAGTCCACAAGGTTCTGCTCACTCAGTGAAATAAGTTTGCCAGTTTTCCGGAACATCTGTCCTTCAAGGGCACCAGTTGCACTAAAAGCCCAACAAGAACCGCAGTGACCCTAAAAACACAATTGAAAAGCTCTCAGGTCTACAAAACAAATAAGGCATTGACAGCTTTGCCGATAATCCAAAAACTCTTAAAAATGAGCGAACTGCATATTGTCCCACAGTCTACCACACCAAGGACGCCAACTCCTTCCTGGCTTCGCTCTTGGGCTGAGACCCGCTGAATGGTGTCATACCTGATTCTTCACAGGAGTTACATAGCCTTCCTCCCTCCAGTCCACAGTTGGGGGCATGTCGGCAAGGAGAGGTTCCCGGAACACTTTCCTTTTCTTGTGCTTCTGGTATTGAAGGCCATTCATCACCTGCCTGAATTCTTCGTTGGTCTTCAAGGAAAGGGAAATAGAATGTTGACAAGCAAGAGGTTATTTCTGTACAGTACTGAGGAGAGGAAGCACCAGGTAAGCCGCCCAAGCCACACTCACCATGTCCCCAAAGGCATTCATCGCCATGGTGAAGCCCTGCTTCCCCAGGTTGTACTCCCGGTTGTGCAGGTCGATCACTTTCATGTTCTTCTCCCACACTGCTCTCCTCCATCCTTCGTTCTAGAGAGAAACACAGAGCCTACCCTCTCTACTCCTATTTAAAACCAACTCACCTTCACCGAGTGGATTTGCAGACAGAAGGGAAGAGCAACCATGGCCAGGAAAAAGGTCCACACTTCTGGGAGCTGTTCTCCAGCACCCACACAACAGGGACATTTGCCCAGGCTGTGCTCAGTAATGGGTGTCATGAAGTCCCTGCCTTGGGAAGAGCTGGCCTCAAGGAGCTCCTTTCTGCTATAAACTCCCAAGGGCCTAGATTCCCTGCGGGGCCCTCTGGACAGTTTCAGGTGTTACCAACCAAGTCATATAGTTTTCTGTGTGTCGCCTTCCACTGGTTCCATTGCGCATCTAAACTCCCATCAAGTTTTGGAGCAGCTGAAGCTATTCCTAAGTAAAAGGTAGTCAAGAAGAATGAAGGATTCATGTTTCAAAAATCTAGGAAAGGAAAAGAAATAAGCACCTGATTACGCCACTCCTTCTCAAAAAGCCACCCCACTTTCCTGAGACGTTACAACCACCCCGGGGGAGTAAAACAACAATGAACTTGCCCTCCCAGTATTTACAGACTTGTTGGGGGAGGCTAAGCATGTGGGTGGAGAAACACAGGCCAGAGACCCCATCCCCGCACAGGGACAGGTACAGGCTGTCCTGAGGCTCGGAGCGCCGCCGGGGCCGGCAACGCTCGCCCCGCAGGCAGCCCGGGTCCCGGGAGGACGCTCACCTGCGG